CTGCCACGAGCCCCAGGGAGACGTTAAAGCCCAGCACCCGCAGCACCAGGAAGGTTTGTCTCTTGATTTCTGTACTTTTCTCCTGGATTTTCCTACCACAGATGTTTGTGCCCGTGTGGCTGTGGGCAGCATTGCCCTGGGATGCGGCTGAACTGGAACACACACAGACCAAGACTTCCCAAATATCCCTAAAAGTGCACCCTGCTGAGCCCAGCCAGATGCTGTGTTGGTTGGAGGAACCAGAGCCTTCAGGAGGCTCCAGGTGTGGATGCAACAGGGTGTAAGTCTGTCCAGACAGAGGAATGGGTGAGAGTTGACTTGGGGGTTTGATCTCTTGCTCTCATCAAGTGCTCAGTGGAAGCAAATCCGGCCCTTGGGATCCTCGGTCGGTCGCTGGGCTGAGTCCATAGCCAGCAGCATCGCTCTCACAGTTATGATATCTGGGTGTATTTCAATGAAAAAGGGTACAATTTGATGTGTTTTAACCCAAAACGTAGCCCATCCCCAGGCTTGTGATGCTGCAGGAGACCGCAAAGCCGTGGGGTGGGAAGGAGCTGTGCTGGATGACATTGAAGGTGACAAAGGACCCATCTGCTTTCTGCTGCCGTCCCACCGGCTCTGCCTCCCCTCAGGGCTGGGCTGGGACCCTGCAGCGCCCGGAGCAGCGGCCGGGCAGGGCTCCGCCGATGGAGGTCACCTCGCTGAGCTCTGCCTCCAGCGTGCTGACTGTGTTCATCACTTGGGCCACATGCACCTTGTTGGCTGCCTTCTTGTGCAAGAGGCAGATGAAGATCTTCTTGAAGCCCTTGCGGAAGTGTTTGGAGACCAGGGCGTAGACGATGGGGTTCACGCAGGAGTTGGCGTAGGAGACGAGATGCGAGAGGATGCGGAGCACGTACGTAACGTGATTGAGGGGGAAGTACCCGAACCAGACACAGAGGATGAGCAGGTGGTGGGGCAGCCAGCAGAGGCAGAACAGGACGGCTACAATGATGAGCATCCTGGTGACCTTCCGCTTGGCCTTCTTGGACTCTGACACGTCGTGGAGAGGGTCCACGGACCTCCACAGGTAGTGAATAGTCCGCACGTACGTGAGGCTCAGGATCAGCACTGGGATGATGTAGCTGAAGATGAAGGTGCACGTGTCCATGACCTTGCGCTGGGAGATCTCCCAGACGGGGTGGCAGACGGTCAGGTTGGCCAACTGGAACTCCTGGTAGTAGCTGAGGTAAGGGCCCGAGAAGATGAAGGAAAGCCCCCAGATGAAGCAGATGGCCGTGAGGGCGTTCCTGGGCGTCCTCAGCTCCCTCGAGTGCAGTGGGTATCGTATGGCCAAATACCTGCCCGGGAAAGGGAGAGGGACACGGCTGCAGTCCTGGGGAGGGCATGGAGATCTGCTCCAGGAGCAGGTTGGGGAAAGGGTGACAGTGACGGATGTGAGCTTTCCGGGGCAATTAGTCCCACAACCGATTCCCTGGTGCTTCTAAGGGTCCCAGCCGGGTGAGAAGGATCCTCTCCCCTGACCCTGTCCTGTCACCCAGCAGTGCTTGTGGGGAAGCCAGGGACAGCCCCCTCCTGTCCCTCTCCCTAATCCAGCAGCTCCTCACCTGACCATCAGTCTGTCTGGCACAAACGGTAGCGGCAGTGAGGATGCGAAGGCAGCAGCAAGTCCCCAGGATCCCCAGACACCCTGTTCCTTGTGCCAGCAGGTGCGAAAGCACATCACCCATTTTCAGTTCTGCAATTAGCTGCTTCCTTAATTATGTCCAGATCCGGGGCTGCTGCGGCTCTTCCCAGGGGACTGTCACAGGGACTTTCCACATCCTACAGCCTCACGGGTTTTGGGCGCTGAGCAGAGCAGCCCCTTGCTCCCAGCCCCTCACTTGCTGTGGGTTAGTAACTCCCTGGCCCCTGCAGAGCCAGGGGCTGAGCTGGTGCGGGGCACAGCCTTTTACAGAGCTTCCCAGCTAACACCCACCCTGGTCCAGGCTGGGATAGTCGCTGGGACGAAGGACAGCACTGGGACAGATATGGGCTTATTGTTAATGAAAGGGGAGGCTGGGAAATGCAGAGTCCCAGCTGAAACATCCCAGTGTCTGCTCCTTCTCGAGGTTTGCCCGCTTTGCCGTGGGCTGTTTGGAGGGCAGGGGCCCTTCCCACATCCTGGGAAGAGCTGGAGCTGCA